CCACGGGCAGCCACACACAGGGCTGGCACTGGGCTGGCACTGGGCTGGCACTGGGCTGCCAAACACAGCCTCCAATCCCCACTGAAACATCCTAAAACTGCAAATGGCACCACACAAAACCTGGTTTTTGGGCTGCATTTTGGTATCAACTCTTCTCACTCAGGGTATCCTTACAACCAGTGTTTAATCCTTAATATCAAGTGAAAAATCCTAAATCTGGCATGAGAGACACGTCCAAATACACCCAATTAAATCACTGCCCACTGTCAAGCCTGTTCCTTTTGGAGGGTTCTGTCTGTTCAAACCAAGCTGGTGGCACAGTTTTCCCATCCAGGATGCAGGAGGGAGTGGGAAGTGCTTACCTTTAGCAATCTCTTTATCAGGGATTTGTCTTTGTGAAGGAATGTTTTATAAGAAGTATAGATTCCTGGATTGGAAAAAAAAACCATAAAATCAGGAAAAAAAAAACCAGAAATGAGAAATGAATTTTTGGCTGTTTCTCTAGAGGAGACACTGTCCCACAGTGCAGGGAGGACAGGGCTGGGATCCCCAGCACAGACCCTGGGAGCTGGGTGTGTAATCACAAAAATCATTAAATCACTGCAAAATCACGGAATTGCCAAGGCAGCCAGTGCTCACAGCAGGGTTAAAGGGCTCTGAACTGCCTCCAGGACCTTCTTACACCGAGTTTATGGTGAAAGAACTTCCTGGAGGCAGCCTTTGGCAGGGGCTGTGACAGCTGAGCAAGTTCCCCTCAGTGCCCTCACACCCAAACAGCAGGTGTGGTACACAAAATAAACCCATGGAAACACTGGGATAATGTGCTACAATAATTTAAATTGGCTTTTTCCGTCCCAGAACAAAGGTGTGCAGTTTCCCTGGATCTGACATGGCTGTCCCTGGGCAGCAGATCAGGGGTGAGGAGGTGGCAACACCAACACATCCACTTGTTGGGAAGCAAAGAACGAGGGACACAACATCCTCATTCCTGCAAAATCCTCCCCAGGGAAGGGTAAACAAGGCTGGATTGTGGTTGAGAAGAGGACTGACCTGGTTTTGTGTCCAGGGTTTTGAGCTTGGCCAGTTTCTTCACCTTCACCTGCTTGGGCAGGTCGCCTGTGACAGACAGGGGTGACAGTTCAGGCTCTGCCTCTGCCCCAGGGAGACACTTTGCCCTGGAGAACACCCAGCCCTACACTGGTCCATCCTAACTCACACCCTCCCTCCCCTCCACCCTCACAGAAGCCTCATCTCACTGTCCTGCTACAGCTGTGGAACAAGGATGTGTTAAGGAGGCACTGCACAAAACCAGCTCCTCCACCTCGAGGTTTCTTGGTTTCACAGTTAATCATTCACTCTCTCCCTCCACCTTTTTCTTGTTCTCAATGCAGTTTTCTCTTTCCTGCCCAGATTTCTCCTTTTCTGAGAAGGAAAACCCAGCAAATCACCCTCACCAGAACCTGTCTGCCCCACTGCACCACCCTGAGCCCCATCCACACCTCCCCCCGGCTTCCCAGCTCTCCCAGGAACGAAGATGAGGAAAACCACAGCCCCTGCAGCTCCCTGCCAGCCCCTGCACAGCCCACCAGCCCCACAGGAGCCCGGTGCCACCCTCACCTGACATCCTGAGCTCCCCCACCCGCAGGATGTGCGGCCAGTGCTGCAGGGTTTTGATGAAGAAAGGGTTTGTGACGCCCACCACGATGTTTGGCCTGGACAGGGGGTGAAAAGCAGGACAATGGAAACACAGGGGGTCTCCTCAGCCAGAGGGGCAGGAGGGGCCCGGGGGGTACTCACGGGGCCTGGGTGCGGGTCGTGTACTCCTTGAACTCGCTGTCGTGGATGGTGAAGTAGGGCCGGAAATCACAGCAGTACCGGAGCGGGGCCAGGACACTGCAACACAGGGATACTGCAGGGGTACTGCAGCCTGGGGCTGGGGCAGGGCTTTGTGCTCCACAGGAACACAGTCCTGGGATCCCTGAGGTTGGAAAAGCCCTCCCAGCCCATGGATCCACCCTG